ACGGTGGCTAGGAAATGTTGACTACCTCACCTGGTATACAGGAGGTCGTGGGTTCGATCCCGACCCTGACGACGCCTGCTGCTGCTGTATATTTGGAGTTTGCGGTCTCTCTTTCTCTCATCATCATCACGGTGGCTAAGGATTATTTTCCTCCCTTCACATTTAGAATCAACATCACCACGCGTTCAAGAGTCATTCGGCCTTATCAGTGCCTAACTTATTACGCACCAATTCAGACCTTATTGGTAAAAAATATATATTTAATGTAGCTTTAATAGAGGGACTTTACCTGGTAAAAAAATAGATTTGATGTAGCTTTAGTGAGGGTCTTTACCTAGTGAAATATATATTTGATGTAGCTTTAGTGAGGGACTTTACTTAGTGAAATATATATTTGATGTAGCTTTAGTGAGGGACTTTACCTGGTATAAAAAATAAGATTTGATGTAGCTTTAGTGAGGGCCTATCCCTAGCTATATATATATAAAAAAAATCAACATAGTTTAGTTTAAAAATAAAAACCCAGCCACACGCTACGCCTCATGACAGAGCAACACGACGAGTAAATAAAAACGTGCATTTAAGAGCCCACAACCATCGCCAGTTTTGTTACAGAATCCGCCGAGGAAGAAAATTTTCCCCCCCTCACCTCTGATGCCCGCCATTGTTCGTCCAGGGCGACCCTCTAGATTTCCCAGTGCAGATGCGCATCGTCCCCCCCCCCGACCGCCGTTCATTGGGCGCGCCAACGTCTTCACACGTCACGCAAGCCTCGGCCAATGAGGAGACAGCGGGCGGGCTTGTGCGCGCTGTGAATTATAATGAGGGTGCGAGGACGATTTCTCAATGCAGATACGCATCGCCCCCCACCACCGTTACCGCCGCTCATTGGTTGCGCCAACGTCGCACGTGACGCAAGCCTTGGCCAATCAGAGGACAGCGCAATGAATTGTAACGAGGAAGCGAGGCCCGTGTCGGAAGCGAGCCACGTGACTTTTCTCGGTGAATTCTCACGCATAAATTAGCATAAACTAGCATAAACTAAATTCCGCGCATAAAATTAGCATAAATTGGACATCGATGTTCCTGTCGATCAGAGGTTCTTCTAACCTTTACTGTAGCCTTGCACCCCTTTGGTTTCACAATCGTTAAATGTAACAATGTCAATAAATACATAGGGAGGTCCATGATATAACTACATAGGGGTTTAATGAACACATTCCTGCGGAGGGAGCTGGTAGGAACGTTGGGTTGCTCGGTCAATGGCCAGGGTCAACGGCGGCACCACCACGTGGTGTATTCCGCACAATATTCCCGACTGTGAGGGTGGGCACAAGCCGGCGTGAGTAGGTGAAACGTTGAGGTTTATAAGGGCACCACGGGGTGACCAGCCCCTCCCCACCCAGTCCCACCCTCCCCTCCCCACTCAGCCCCTCCCTACCCTCCCCTCTCCACCCAGCCCCACCCCTCCCACGTGGACAGACATCCACAGACATACACAATCCCCTGCCTCCTGTGAATTAATCCCAGTTGGGCTTCCAGTCCACTACGTTTCCTACCAGTAAAACTTACGTTAGGGGCCGTCCATAAATGACGTCACGCGTTTTTGGACGATTTTTTGACCCCCCCCCCCCTTCGTCACACGGCGTCACAAAAAGCCAGAACCCCCCCCCCCCTCAAATATGACGTCAGAAAGCTCTACCCCCCCCCAAAAAATAAAACACACGCTTCAAATCGCTTTAAACTATTGTCATTGTAGTGCGTATTTAATGTGCCGCTGCACTCTGATGTTGTAGGAGAAAACATTTATTAAAAAGTCTATTTAAGTGGAACGTGTTGTCTACATTTATTTAAAGTTGCGCATTTTGACGTGACGTCACATTTCTCAACCCCCCCCCCCCACAAATGTCTGACCCCCCCCCCAGGTGCGTGACGTCATTTATGGACGGCCCCTTAACCGTGGCTTAATTTATTATTGAGATTTTTCCGTTCACAAAAAAATCTGCCCATGTCTCGCTACCCCCCCACACAGAAAGGGCATCTCGCACCTCCAGGGGGTGCAGTGTGCACCTCCCCCCCCCGGTTAAGAAGATGAACTGCTCTAAATCATGATATTCACAGTGTAATTTATATTCTTGGTTCTTTCGGTAAAGTCACCTAGAAAGAACCAAGAATATGAATCCCTGCAATCACGAAAGCTTTAAATCAAAATGTAATTTATATTAAGATTGAAAGCTTTCGTGACTGCAGGGATTCATATTCTTCGTGAGAATTTAATTGTTGTATTTGCCTGCGTTTGGGTTATTTAACTTTCTTGTACTTTGCACTCGTTTCGTGTTTTGGCATTTTGTGTTTGTTGTTGTAACGTTCTTACCACGTGCCCCGATGGGACATCTTCACTCAAAACTGCTCTAGAGGAGTTGTTCACCCCTAGCTGCCACTGCTAATCAGTGGCCTAAAAAATGGCTCTAGATTTTGGTGTTATAATTTATTTACGTTGTTTATTGTTAAAAATTCGGTCACACTCCCTATGATCACTGTTACATTGCATTTATGGCTTTTATTTTTGTGATTTCGAAAACGTTTTTTTTGTTTTGGCCATGTTTTTGTTTATTGTAGTACGGAGTTAGACTGATGGCCTTAATCTTAGTTGTCTTGTGGTTGTTGTTGTTATTTGACTTGCATCCCACTGGGATTTTTGCACACAGCGTTGGTGTACGGTGCTATTTCAGGAATATTTGATTTTTTTTTCCTGGATTTTCTGTTTGCACAGTCACATAATCACTTTAAGATGTTTTCTTGTTCATGTTTTTTTGTTTGTTGCGGTTGCACCCGATTCAAGAGCCGAATGGCTCACAGGGCTATACCAAATAAATGAACTATGGAACTATGGAACTATCTGTGAAAAAGAACTTCGAAGCTCATCGGATTCCTCCAGTATAAACAAATATTCAGATTCTGCACCAAGTTGACCGGGAGTAACCCTCCCGGGATGTGACGGCCTGGGATTGGTGCTGGCTGGAGATGAGGAGACATGGTCCGAGATTTCACGATCTGTGCTTGGCAGATGGGAGAGGTGATCATGGGGACAAGAGGGCAACGTAGAATGGAGAAAAGAGAGAGGTGCATGAGGAGGAGAGAGCGGTGGATGTTCGGGAGCTGTGTACGTACGTACGGCGAAAATTCTTTCGAACCAACCGTGCCAATCTGTGGTGCGGGGGAAGGACAACGAAACCAAACGTACAAAAAGCGGCCCGAAAGAAATTCGCGTTCAATCCAGATGACTTCAAAGTGCACAGCTCCAATGGCTTCCGAACATCGTAAGAGCGTTCCAGACGGCCGCAGAAGCGCAAATGAAAGCGCCGCGCGCGATGATGCGGTGACCACCGTCGTTGTTCGATGGCCAACCAATAGCCGCCGCCGCCGCGAGGATGACGACCGGAGTTGGAGCGACGATTGCTTACGCGCCTCGACGAGATCAGCGAGGCGTCACGGTTCATTCGCGGCGAGCACCTTGTGCGCGCGTGCGATGAGCGTGACCCCGTGACCCCGTGACCCCGTGACGCGTTCTTCCGGCGACCGGGAGCCAACGCTGCTCAGCGAGCACCGCGCGGGATCTTCCAGCGCGCGCTCCATCACGACGACGACGTGTCTGTGCGTGTGCCGACGTGTCTTTGTCTACATGTGAGTCTACGCGTGTGCGTGCGAGGAGCGGCGGTGTAGCGGTGAGCGCTACGCCGCGCTACGAACCCCGGCGACCCGGGTTCGATTCTCGCTCGCGGCCAACACCCCGTGACGGGCATCTGAACCGGTCCTGGGCCTCCACTAGGTCGACTCGGCCGCAAATGAGTACCTGGTGCGGTGTGTGGTAAAACATCGCCACTGGGGAGATGTTGCTATGCCACGGTGGGCAGTATACAGATAATTATAGCCGACGGACGTTTTTTTTTATTTTGTTTGCTCAACATCATGTGTACCTTCATAGCACGTACACATGCAACCACGTTAAGACGACACAGGGTGCAGACTAAATGCGAGCTATCATTCGGGTACTGCACACACAATCCACCACCAAAGTGCAAATTCAGTTATAGACAGTCAAGAACATACCTCAATGCGTGTGCACACGTATATGTGTGTGTGTGTGTGTGTCAGAGAGTACGCGTGCTCATTCATGTGGGGAGCCGGAGTGTGCTAGCGGGTTAGCGTCGCTGCGCTACGAACCCCGGCAGAGACACGATTAACGCTCACGGCCACGTAAACCAGGGCAACATTAATGGAGGCTGCCTCAGATTCCCACCACCACACACTCCCGCCAACCCCGTCAACCCTAACAACCCCCACACTAAGTCCAGATGTTACTGAACTTTATCGTGAGGCCATGAACTTTTTAATGACCTGGTGCGGCACGAAATCTCTTCCTGCCCCCCCCCCCCCCGCCACCCGGCAGAGGAGACCCGGTGGGGTTTAAAACCCAGCATGGCGTCGAGACGTCGCCACGCTCTGCTCCTGACCTTTAACATCAGAGCCAGAAAAGATTATTACATTTTGGTTAACTGGATGAATCATGAGGCCCCCCCAGCCACACCCCCACTAGGATACAGCGGTATAGGACACTCCTCCGAGCATGGAACACCCGAGTCGTAAGCCAACCGCCAAACCACTAAACTGCCCAACAACCTCCAAAACGCCAACAACTGCCAAAACGCCAAACCGTCAACCACCAAACCGCCCAACCACCAAACTACCAAACCACTCAACCACCAAAAACACCAAAACCACAAAATCCACCAAAATCACCCAACCACCCAACCACCAAACCACCCAACCACCAAACCACCAAACCACCCAACCACCAAACCACCCAACCACCAAACCACCCAACCACCAAATCACCCAACCACCAAATCACCCAACCACCAAATCACCCAACCACCAAACTACCAAACCACTCAACCACCAAAAACACCAAAACCACAAAATCCACCAAAATCACCCAACCACCCAACCACCAACCCACCCAACCGCCAAAAACTGCCAGCAACCGCCAAACCGCTAAAAACCCGCGCCGATCACAGGAAGGCCAGCAGCGAGCGCGCGCACTCGGTGAGCTTGGCCGGGGCCCCCGGCAGGCCGGCGCAGCGCTCGGCGTGGGCCCTCACCCCCAGCGCGTCGCTCAGCCTCCGGGCGACGTCGCCGCCGCGTAGCAGCAGCGTGGCGACGCACACGAGCAGCCGGAACGCCGCCTCGGCGTCCGGCCGCCGCTCCAGCAGCGCCACAGCCGCCGACAGCAGCTGGGTCGTGGCCTCGTCGTCGTCGTCGGCGTTCCTGGACGCGACGATGGCGGAGAAGAAGGAGGAGGAGGAGGAGGAGGGCTCGCTGTGCAGGACGGCGTAGTTGAGCAGCAGCGTGGCCAGCGCGACCTGGAGACGCGCGGAGTTGGGGGGTGGGGTGGTGACACGGGGAGAGATGTAGGGAGGACACGTGGGGGTATGGGTTGGGGACACGCAGGGAGACGCGCGGAGTGGGGGGTGGGGTGGTGACACGGGGAGAGATGTAGGGAGGACACGTGGGGGTATGGGTGCACGGACATAGCAGGAAAATGTAAATGATAGGAGATGGTCATATAGGGAAGTGGGGACGTGGGGACGTGGGGGCACCTCGTGAAGGCACCTTCAAGTTACAGTTAGGGTCAGAATCATTTGCTTTAGAGTCATTGTGCCACAGCCTCGTTGCCACGGTCTCGTTGCCACAGTTCTAAAGTCTCGTTGCCACAGTTCTAAAGTCTCGGCGGCAGCGCCGTCGGCACCTGCACGTTGCGGTTGTCGGAGCCGACGAGCTCCAGCGCCCCCTCCACCACCCGCGAGCGCCGCTCTCGCATCAGCCGCCGCCCGGGGTCGCGGCTGCAGGCGTTGCAGAGCGCTCGCAGCGCCAGCATCGGGGCGGCGGCGCCGGCTTTGGGCGCCGAGGTCAGCGCCAGGAGGCGGGAGAGCTGCGCCGGGCCGCAGGCGGCCCCCAGGAAGTGCTTGTTGGGGACGTCCAGGCGCAGGCAGAGGCGAAGTATGTCCAGCGCGGGGAAGAGAAACTCTGGGGGAGTGCACGGGTGGTGGGGGGGGGGGACATGAGACACGGTGGGGTGGACATGGGGAGAAAGAGACGCAGGGACGCGGTGGGGATATCGTGGGGGCACGGGGAGGGTGGTGGGTTGGTGGCACGGGGGGCACGGGGATATACGGGGAAAGAACAGGGGGCAGGCAGGGGGGACACACACACACAGACACACCGAGGGTGTGACACGGGAAGGCCGAGACACGGGGGGGGCACGGGGAGAGGGAGATGGACGAGCTCGAAGAGAAGAGGACGCGAGGGTTGATGATGATGAGAGAAAGAGAGACGCACAAACTCCAAATATACAGCGGCGTCAGGGTCGAGATTGAACCCACGACCTCCTGTACACCAGGCGAGGAACTTAACATCTCCTAGCCACCGTGATGATGACGATGATGAGAGAGAGACACGCAAACTCCAAATATACAGCAGTAGGTATCGTCAGGGTCGGGATTGAACCCACGACCTCCTGTACACCAGGCGAGGTAGTCAACATCTAGCCACCGTGATGATGATGATGAGACACGCAAACTCCAAATATACAGCAGCAGGCGTCAGGGTCGGGGATCGAACCCACGACGTCCTGTGTACCAGGCAAGGTAGTTAACATCTCCTAGCCACAGTGATGATGATGATGAGAGAGAGACACGCAATCTCCAAATATGCAGCAGGCGTCAGGGTCAGGATCGAACCCACGACCTCCTGTGTACCAGGTGAGGGAGTCAACATCTCCCCTCCCACCGTGCCGCCCTTCTTTCTTCGACCAGGTAAGAGAGCCCCAGTTGGGCCCTGTTACCTGGTGAAATAAAATAACAATTTGTTCGTAATCTTAGTTCTTTCGGTAAAGTCACGTTGAGAAACAACAAAATAATAAAATATATATATAAAACAATAAAAATTCTCACGACGTTTCGACCATAACACAAACGGTCGTCTTCAGGTGTTTTTATTGTTTTATATATATTTTATTATTTTGTTGTTTCTCAACGTGACTTTACCGAAAGAACTAAGAATATGAATTACTGCAGTCACGAAAGCTTTAAATCAAAATTTAATTTGTTCGTAGTTCAATGAGTTCTTGACTTAAAGCTTTCGTGACTGCAGGAATTCATATTCTTTGGGTCTTTCGGTAAAGTCACGTAGATAGGTTCAAAAAAATAATACAAATAAAAATATGATAATAATAAATAATAATAAAAAATAAACGGAAACATCTACGACGTTTCCATCGCAGGACGAGCGACCGTCACCTGATGACCTGCCGACGATCGTGGTGCCATCGAAACGTGGTAGTTTTTTCTCGTTCATTTCATAATTTTTTGTTAACCTATCTACGTGACTTCACCGAAAGGCGCGAAGAATATAAACACACAGGGTAGTCCACTGCTTACGGTGGAGTTTCGTTACGACGAACCCCATCGTAAGTCAAAAATATCGCGAGTCGAAGATGGCCCTGGCCTACCCAGGAGTCTTAAAGAATTGTGATAATTTAGCAAAACAGAGCAAATTACAGTACCGTACTGTAAAAAAACTATATACTGTATGTATTTATTAATTACAATACTGTATTGCACAGTTAAACGTAAAGTAAAAAAAAACAAGGTAAATTCTTCGCCTACCTATATGAACCGCAATTTCATAGAAAGTTTTTTCAGGTGAACAATTCTATCTGCTATAAAAAAAAATTCAACATGCATTGAACGTATCGTAACGTGTCATATTGTACTGTACTCACCAAGATTCTGTCCGTCGTCGTCTGTATACTTGAACGATGTTTAGGTTGTTGATGGCAATTGTGTCGTATCGCTATCGCCATCGTCAGATCGAAATATCGTAAGTCGGGACCGTCATAACTCGGGGGACTATCTGTAGCGCAATTAGTATCCGTGGCCTCACTGGGGTCATACCATCATCTCGCGTGCGATTGGGCGAGCGAGATGCTACCGACGAGCGCTTGGGAGGGGGGTTGGTGGGCCGGGTCGTACCATCCGGCCAGCTGAGCAGGAGCTCCAGCGCGTCGAGCTGGGTCTCTGTGACCGCGTCCTCCCTCCCGGGGTTAGTGGCGCATTCCATGAGGGAGAGCAGATCCCGGAGGTCGCTGTCCGAAGCGCGGAGGAGCTGGGGCACTTTTTTGTTGAGGTCGTTGATCTTGGCTGTCGACGCACGCACGCACGCACGCACGCAGAGACGCACGCAAGGACACGGATTCCGCCGTGTCGCCCTGACGGACTTTCGGGGGCCAAGTGCTGTTCGGCGAGCAGCGCCTTCGGAGGCCGCCACGGCGCACAAAGGGGGTGGGGTCGGCCAGCGCCGCGCCCGGCCAGCCGCCTTTGTCCCCCGATTGCGGCGATGTTTACGCACCGCACCCGCAGGGCGGCCTAGCGCTAACCGCTGCGCCGCCGCTCCCAATTCTGCACAGGAGTGCACGCACCAGGGCACACACCAACACACGACCCGCACGCACACACCAACACGCCCGCACTCGGAACTCTTGACACTCACATCGACACTTACAGCCATTCGCCACTAAGTGGCGGTGACGTCACCACGGTGCCTGTGCCAGGCCAGGTGCACTTTGAGGCCACGTGAGAAGTGTCGAAGGCTCGCCGCTGACAGGAGGAGGTCACGGGGCAGACCCGGCAGGTGCCGTGGGTCGACTGACTGAGATGACCGGCAGATGCACCACCAGCTGTACCCTCCTACTGTGCCAACTCGCTGCACTTTAGCCGCCCGGCACTCCGCTCGTTGTTGTGAGCGTCGCTCCTCTGCCCTCCATTGTTGTTGCTGGAAGGCGACTGCCTCCAATTTCCCAGTAGCAGCAGCAGCGTCCTTCACGAGCCTCCTCCATAGAGGCCGATCTTGAACACCGCTGGTCTCAGTCATCGGCAAGTCAACTCAGCTCCACGTCCTCCTGTACCACATCACTCCTTCTCTTCTCTAGCCCGTGCCGCGCCTGTCTAGCCCCCTCGATCCAGCTGAACAAAAACTGTTTAGGCATGCGGTGGCTGGGCATGCGGGCTATATGACCCACTCACACCCGCACTCACACCCGCACTCACACCCACACTCACGCCCACACTCACGCCCACACTCACACCGTTACACCCGCGCCGGGCACTCACCAAGAATTGCCGAGGGATTGGCTTGGTCAAAGGTCACCACCTCTGTCTGGGGAAAGTAGTCGCACACCTTGTCACCTGCAAGGCATCGTCACCCACGGCGGCTTTCATCAACGACGAAGACAATTCGCGATGGGGGGCCACGTGCTACGGGGGGCGACGCGCGTGCGCGGCACGGGGCCGAAACGTCGTCGCGGCACCAGCGCCGGATGAAGCTGGTGCTTCTTCTTTGGTTCTTTCGGTAAAGTCACGTAGAATGAGAATAAAATAATAAATTGATAAAATAACACAATAATATTCTCACGACGTTTCGGCCACAACACAAGCGGCCTTCATCAGGTGAAGGGGCGAGACTGTCTGGTAGGACAGCGCTGGAGTGAAGCTGGTGCTGCGGGGCCTGTAAGCATGTGTTATGAAGGGGCCCCTCAATAAAAAAATAAAACACGTAAATACGAAAACACACGAATGTTTAACCTGCACAGTAAAGTAATTGTATTTTTTTTCATTTGCTATGCGGCCGGATAATACGACAAAATCGCTGGCCTTGAACATCCGAACGAGATTAGAAGCTTTCGCGACTGCAGGAAGTAATTACTCTTTGGCTCTTTCGGTAAAGTCACGTAGGAATTATTATTTAGTTTAATTTCTTTCGACGTGACTTAAACACCCGGTCGTTCTTAAAAGTCGAAGGCGGCATAGTACTATAGTGATAGAGCAAGTGCAGAATCACCGAACCGGAATTGATAGCTTGAAAGTATTTAGCGCGGGGGGCCCTTGAAAGTGCGGAGCCCCCGTAGCTGCTACACGTGTAGTAGTAGCTACTTGTGCTACTGCATGTGTAGTAGCACAAGTAGCTACTACACATGTAGTAGCTACTTGTGCTACTAATACACGTGTAATAGTAGCTACTTGTGCTACTACTACACGTGTAATAGTAGCTACTTGTGCTACTACTACACGTGTAATAGTAGCTACTTGTGCGACTACTACACGTGTAATAGTAGCTACTTGTGCTACTACTACACGTGTAATAGTAGCTACTTGTGCTATTGGTATAATCCGGCACTGCACGGCAACGTGAAGAGGCTGAACGAGCTCCGTTGCGCCGGATACGTCCGGGACCTCACGATCACACCGGACCTCACGGTTACACCAGGACCCCACGATCACACCAGGACCTCACGATCACACCGTGACCCCACGATCACACCAGGACCTCACGATCACACCAGGACCCCACGATCACGCCAGGACCCCACGATCACGCCAGGATCTCACGATCACACCGGGACCTCACGATCACACCAGGACCCCACGATCACACCAGGACCCCACGATCACGCCAGGACCCCACGATCACGCCAGGATCTCACGATCACACCAGGACCCCACGGTCACACCAGGACCCCACGATCACACCGGGACCTCACGATCACACCAGGACCCCACGATCACAACAGGACCTCACGATCACACCGTGACCCCACGATCACACCAGGACCCCACGATCACACCAGGACCCCACGATCACACCAGGACCCCACGATCACACCAGGACCCCACGATCACACCAGGACCCCACGGTCACACCAGGACCCCACGATCACACCAGGACCCCACGGTCACACCAGGACCTCACGATCACACCGGGACCTCACGATCACACCAGGACCCCACGATCACAACAGGACCTCACGATCACACCGTGACCCCACGATCACACCAGGACCCCACGATCACACCAGGACCCCACGATCACACCAAGACCCCACGGTCACACCAGGACCCCACGATCACGCCAGGACCCCACGATCACACCAGGACCCCACGGGGTGTGGAGCGCCCCAACCGGGACGCGCCGCCGAGGCTGGCGCCTCACTTCATTCGGAGACCGACGGAGTACTTGCATGCGACGTTAGACGTTTCGGGGGGGGGGGCGGATGGACCTTCCATCGGGTGTGGAGGAGGTCGTGTGGTACGATCTCGACGCCCACCCCTCCCCCCACCGCCAGCCGGCCGCCCGGACGATGCCCCCCGATATATTTGAATGGGAATGTCGTGTTCATACTGCACGAGGAATCCGATGAGCTAAGAAGTTTTATTTTGTCACCGATGCCCCGTAAGGGGCCGTCCATAAATTTCGATTTGGGACGATTTTTGACCCCCCCTCCCCTCGTCACACGTCATCACAAAAAGTCAGACCCCCCCCCCCTCAAATATGATGTCACGAAGCTCTGCCCCCCCCCCACCCCCGCAAAAAATAAAACATGCTTCAAATCGCTTTAAACTATTGTCATTGTAGTGCGTATTTAATGTGCCGCTGCGCTCTGATGTTGTGGGAGAAAACATTCATTTTAAAAAGTCTATTTAATTAAGCAGAACGTGCTGTCTATATTTATTTATAAAGTTGCGCATTTTGATGTGACGTCACATTTCTCAAGCACCCCCTTCCCCCCCTCATCGTCACACATCGTCACAAATGCCTGACCCCTAAGGACGTTACAACAAATAATGACAAAAAAAACTCGAGAGGAGTTTCAAAGCACAAGGAAGCTGAACAAATTTAGATTTAAAGCTTTCGTGACTGCAGGGATTCATATTCTTGGTTCTTTCGGTAAAGTCACCACGTAGAAGGGAAACAAAATAATAATAAAAATATATAAAACAATACAATTCTCACGACGTTTCGACTGCAACACAAGCAATCAACATCAAGAAAAAATTATTGCTGTGGTTTTCAAACCTGACGATGATTGCTTGTGTTGCAGTCGAAACGTCGTGAGAATTTTGTTGTTTTATATCTTTATTATTTTATTGTTTCCCTTCTACGTGGTGACTTTACCGAAAGAACCAGGAATATGAAGCCGAACAAATCACCCGGACACGTACGAACACAACAATGAACCATCTCCCCCATCCTACCAGGGAAAGCCCCGCTTGAGGTTTTCAATGCCGACAAAAGCGACCCATCGTTCGGACATTGGTAGCAGCAAAAAAAATCGTCTAAATGGGCTCAATACGTTTTTTTATAAATGTGGAGGGGGAATCCACGCGTCCACGGGGAGAGAGACACGCAGACTACAAATATACAGCAGCAGCAGGCATTGTCAGGGTCGGGATGGAACCCGCGACCTCCTGTATACCAGGCGAGGTAGTTAACATCTCCTAGCCACCGTGATGATGATGAGAGAGAGAGAGAGACACGCACACTCCAAATATACAGCAGGCAAAGTCAAGACATCGGGATCGAACCCACGACTTCCTATCTACGTTTACTTTGTTTACAATTAAAAGCGAAGAAGCTTTGGTATTTTTTTTTAAATAAAAAGTTCAAACCGTGTAACTTTAAAAAAAATAGAGAGATATAATCCGGACGGAAACCCCCTCCCTTGAACGCGTCGCTTGCTCCCCTGACCTGCCATGGCCGACGTTCCCCCTCTCTCTCTCTGCGCTCCGTCGAACGAGATGAGAATCAATTTGTAATTGAAGCTTTCGTGACTGCCGAAACGACTAAGCTCCCTGAGTCTGTCGGTAAAAGTTCACGCTCGCAGTTGCCCTCTTCTGCGTCTAGAATCCACAGCGCGCATAGACCCGACGCGTCGGCTTGCGCCCTCCCCCATTGGCCGAGCCGCACCACACGCCCCGCCCCCACTTACCCCACCCACCCCACCCACCCCACCCACCACCGCGTGACGAACTGACCAATCGGAGACGCCCGGGAGGAAGCGCGGTCGACGCGATAATTTATTTCACTTCCCTTTCAAGAATCATCGTCGGCAATAACAACAGCAACAATAGCAGCAACAGCAGCAACGTCTGTCTATTTATAACTGACTAGCTGGATTCACCGCACCCTGCCGCCTTTGTCTCCCCAGTGGCGATGTTCACAACACAGCAGTTACTCGTTTGAGGCTGAGTCGACCTAGGGGAGGCCCAGGACCGGTTCAAATAATCGTCACCGGTGATGGCCGTGAGCGGGAATCGAACTCGGGTCGCCTGGTTCGTAGCGTAGCGCTAACCACTACACTACTATGCGTTATGCTTCCACACACACACAGACACACACACAGACACAGACAGACACACAGACACACACAGACAGACACAGACAGACACACACACAGACACACAGACACACACACAGCGCGCTAACCGCTACACTACAATTCGTTACGCTTCCACACAGACACACACACTCAGACACATACACACACAGACACATACACAGCACGCTAACCACTACACTACAATGCGTTACGCTTCCACACAGACACACAGACAGACACACATACATACAGACACAGACAGACACACACATACACAGCGCGCTAACCACTACACTACAATTCGTTACGCTTCCACACAGACACACACACTCAGACACACACACACTCAGACACATACACAGCGCCCTAACCACTACACTACAATGCGTTACGCTTCCACACAGACACACAGACAGACACACATACATACAGACACAGACAGACACACACATACACAGCGCGCTAACCACTACACTACAATTCGTTACGCTTCCACACAGACACACACACTCAGACACACACACACTCAGACACACACACAGACACATACACAGCGCGTTAACCACTACACTACAATGCGTTACGCGTCCACATACGCGGGTCACGTGACAGATTTGACGTCACAGCTTACTTGCCGTGCAAAAAATAAATGCATTGTTGAACTCCCGCCCTCCCAAAAAAAAACACAAGTGTATCTTTATAATTTTAACATGGTGTACAGTCTGGAAAGTACCCACATGTCAAATGTCCAGTTTGTTGCGTGTCGGGAAGTACGCTAAACATGTTGAACAGACACACACATTCACAACTTTGCCTTTTAGTCACTGTGTATGGAGATATGGAGATGAGCTTTACTCGCCGGCTTCGCCCGGCACGTGGATTCTTGTCTTGGATGAATACACGGCCTACGCGGAGGGTGGGGGGGAGGGGTGTGACGTCAGCAGGCACAATGCGTGACGTCAGCAGGCACACTGCGTGACGCTGCCGCATACGGGTGACATCACAGATGTGACGTCAACTGCTCACTTGCCGTGCAAAATATATCCATCATTGCGCCCCCCCCCCCCCCCCCAAATACAAAAGTTTATTTTTATACTTTTTGCATTGTGTACAGTCTGGAAACTACCCACATGCCAAATTTCATGTTTGTTGCGTGTCGGGAAGTACGCTAAACATTTTGAACAGACACACATAATCACAAATTCCCCTTTTGTATACAGTATATAGCTGACCTTCGAAGATCTTTTTGTCACAGGTGCAACGTTACAACGAAACAACACGCACGATAGTCGTGCAAAAGTAGCAGGGAAGGTTTAACAAATCTCCCCTGGCTGGCACATACCTCATTGTAAACTGAACCACCCCCCTCATCCTGAACCCAGGCCTGGTCCCACTCTGGCTCTAACTTATTTTTCAGAAGCCATCCGGCCACAAATGATAGCGCAACAACAGAGTGGCCCATCGTTTGTTTACGACTGGTGGCTATGAGATGTTGACTACCTCGCCCGGGGTACAGGAGGTCGTGGGTTCGATCCCGACCCTGATGACGCCTGCTGCTGCTGTATATTTGGAGTCTGTGTGTCTCTCTCTCTCATCATCATCACTCACGGTGGCTAGGAGATGTTGAGTACCTCGCCTGGTATACAGGAGGTCGTGGGTTCAATCTCGACCCTGACGATGCCTGCTGCTGCTGTATATTTGGAGTCTGCGTGTCTCTCTCTCATCATCACTCACGGTGGCTAGGAGATGTTGACTACCTCGCCTGGTATACAGGAGGTCGTGGGTTCAATCTCGACCCTGACGATGCCTGCTGCTGCTGTATATTTGGAGTCTGCGTGTCTCTCTCTCATCATCACTCACGGTGGCTAGGAGATGTTGACTACCTCGCCTGGTATACAGGAGGTCGTGGGTTCGATCCCGACCCTGACGATGCCTGCTGCTGCTGCTGTATATTTGGAGTCGGCGTGTCTCTCTCTCTCTCTCTCCCCGTGGTGGTCGCGTGGATTTGTCTCCGGTTCCTCCGGGTTTTCCCCTCCACATTTAAGAATCGACGAAGTCACCACGGAGTTCAGAGTTATTTGGCTGCTGCTATAAATTTCCACGTGGTGACCACGATGACGACAATCCCACTTCGTTGAGCCACCCTTAGCGATGGCCAGGTCGCTTCTGAACAACAGTGCCACGATATTGTAGCTTAGTGGGCCTTGTCTGGTAAAATAAAAACAAATGTTAATAGTTTAGGTAAATAACGGGTGGGTTGGGGGTGGGGGGCGTTGCGCGTCATAACGGGGGTGGGAGGGCGGTGCGCGTCATAACGAGGTGGGGGTGGGGGCTGCGCGTTTCGCGTAGTGCAAAAAGCGTTCCCGAACACAATAACCGCGTTACTGTTGTGCGACAACGCGTCACCCAGTGGCGAACACCACGGCGTTGAGGCGACGACTTACCGTACCTGTACGCTCCCTCTGCGTGTTATCTCCTCGTGTGTGGTGTGTGTGTGTGCTGGTCTGTGTGAGCAAGTTGGCACAGTAGGGGGCGCAGGTGGTGCATCGGCCAGCCATCTCAGTCAGTCAACCCATGGCACCTGCTGGGTCTGTCCCCCGTGATCTCCTCCTGCACCTAGCCTGGCACAGCAGCAGTCAACCCATGGCACCTGCTGGGTCTGTCCCCCGTGATCTCCTGCACCTAGCCTGGCACAGCAGCAGTCACCCCATGGCACCTGCTGGGTCTGTCCCCGTGACCTCCTCCTGCACCTAGCCTGGCACAGCAACAGTCAACCAATGGCACCTGCTGGGTCTGTCCCGTGACACTCGTGCCAGCCGGCGTCCCACACTTCACGTGGCATTAACGTGCACCTAGCCTGGCACAGGCGCCTTGGTAACGTCACAGCCACTTGAGTGGCGCTTCGAACCTGGCGACCCGGGTTCGATTCCCGCTCACTGCCACAACCACCCAGTGACGATTATCTGAACCGATCCTGGGCCTCCCCTAGGTCGACTCGGCCTCAAATGAGTACCTGGTGTAGCGGTGTGTAGTAAACATCGCCACTGGGGGAGACAAAGGCGGCCGGGCGTGGTGCTGGCCACCCACCCCCTCGTGTGTCATGCCGGTCCCGATAGGCGCTACTCGCTAAGAGCACTTGCCCCTACAGTCTGTTAAGGCTACACGGGTGGGGGGGCGCTTTGTCTTTGTGTGTGTGTATTGGTGTCTGTGTGTGTACAGGTTCGTTGTGCACTACCGCACCAACACACACACACACCTGTAAAGACACACACACACAGAGACACCAACCACAACCGCATTTCGCCAATAATTCAGTGGCGGTGACGCCACACACGGCGTTTGTGCCAGGCTAGGTGCACCTTAAGGCAACGTGGAGTGTCGGACGCCCGCTGGCAGGTCAGGGGACAGACCCAGCAGGTGCCATGGGTTGTACTGATGCTGTGCCAGGCTAGGTGCAGGAGGAGGTCACGGGACAGACCCAGCAAGTGCCATGGGTTGATTGGTGCTGTGCCAGGCTAGGTGCAGGAGGAGGTCACGGGACAGACCCAGCAAGTGTCATGGGTTGTACTGCTGTGCCAGGCTAGGTGCAGGAGGAGATCACGGGACACCCCAGCAGGTGCCATGGATTGACTGCTGCTGTGCCAGGCTAGGTGCAGGGGGATGTCACGGAACACTCCAGCAGGTGCCATGGGGTCAACTGACCCGAGATGGCTGCACAATGCGCCCATCTGCGTTTTATCCGCCCGGCGCCTCCGCTCGTTGTTGTGAGCGTCGCTCCTCTGCGCCCCTTCCCATTGTTGCTCGAGGGGGCGACTTCCTCCCAACTGCCCAGTCGCCTCGACGTGCACCTAGCCTGGCACTGCCCCGAGGGGTAGGGGGGGGGGGGCAAAGTGTCGCTCCTCCGCAGAGACCGATCTTGACACCGCTCATTGGCAAGTGCACTCAGATCTTGACTTAAAAGCTCTCGACTGCAGGAATTCGTATTCTTGGTGTGGGGGGGGGCTTCGGTAAAGTAACGTCGATGGGTTCATATAAATGACGAGTTATTATTACTACACGCTTTCATTTAGCTCACTCTGTCTGTTGTAGTCATTGTTGTATCCTCAAATCTTGTCACTCAATTTTAACCCACTTCCCAATGTGGTATCGACTGCAAACTCGGTATACTTATGTCATACCGATGACAATACTATATTCTATCGTTAAAATTTTAAAAAAAACATATTTTAAAACATTATTTTTCATATGTTATGTTTCGGTTTGGCTATAATTGTCCATGCTCGACTGACGTTGGCCGTAAATCACCAGGGTCTCTTGCGTTGTGGCAAGCTTCGAGGCCACTTCCTGGAGTCGTGGAGTTCTTACATCACTAGTACGGTACATTTCATAAAAGCGTGTTTTGAAAAAAAAAGTTAAAAAAATATATATTACTTATTTTCTTTGAACCTATCCACGTTGACTTTCTACCGAAAAGTCACGAGGATAAGTCCACTCGGCTCCATTTCACACAAATGACACACAGCACGCGCAAGCGGTTTTTTTTGTTGTTGTTGCAAAGTACGTTTTATTGTTGATGT